CAATGAATTATGTGTTTTCAAGAAAATTGTGAAGAAAGAAAAATTTGACACAACAAACTCAAGGAAATCATGTCAAAATGCCTTGAAATACTAGAAACATGGAGAAATGGACAATTCAAAAAAATTCACAGATTATAATCATAATTGTTTTTACTAATTTTACCCAATTTTAGCTCACCCAAAAATGTTTTCAATAAACTGTAATGTCAATGTCAAAGAAAGAATATCATGAACACCCAAGAGAAAATAATTCATGGTATCAAAAATCAACAAATTAAGTAACACAAGACTAGTTAATGAGGATGAGAAAAGATAGATGGTACAATGTTTACATAACAAAGGAGGGTGATGCAAACCACCTTTCCTTAGAAGGAGAAAGGGAGCAATTATAACTAATCAGTTGACCAACAAAGTCAAGCATTATATGCTGTGGTCCATACCACTGAGAAAGATATTTTTCTTAGGGCCATGCTTGCTTATAATTTCACATTTTGTAATTTCATCAGAATTGCAGTTCTGATTTTGCTGTTTTTGTTCTTTCAATTTGCATATGAATACAGGAGACTTTTTATCTCCACTATTCATGAGTGGCAAAGGACATAGATAAGAAAAATAGATTTGAGAAGTTAAAAGTGATTTCAGAAGAGGAGGTTTGAGGATGGTAATCGACTATCTAGGAAATGGTTTAAAATATAGGAACAATAAGATGCTGGCCTCAGAGAAAGTACACCTGTCAAAGCGGGGAGAAGGAAAAAAATGTATTTGCTTACCTTTAGAAGCTTACTAAAAAGGGCCAAAAATGAAGGGCGGAGGAATAAAATGGCCTACACATAATTGCCAAGTTACATGTTATAGCTATAATATAGGAAAATAATCACATAGTCATGGCTCATACCATCTTTACACTCCATACCTAGCCTGTATAGGGGATAGAGATTGTATCTGACAAATCTCCTCAACACCAACCTCTACTGAAGACACCTTTGTTTCACTTAAGTCCAATTCATGTCCAAGTGAAGACATCACCCTCATGATGTCATTGTCCTCTTTAAGAAGGAAGAATGAACCATGACAACAACAATAACAATATCCTTCAATCTAGTCCATTGTTTTCTCAATGAGTATAATATAAAGAGGGATTTCAAAAACATGACAGCCTTTTATTTTTGTTAAAGCTTGTAATCATAACTTCCTAGGAAAGCAACCTAGAATTCATCATGTCCAATGCTCTTATTTTACAAATGAGAAAAATAAGGCTCAAAGATAGTATGTTTTTTGACCATGATCTTCCAGCCAATACATATCTTATGCAATATTTGAATCCAGGTTGCCCTGACTCTAAGCCTATCGTGCTTTCCACTATAAAACATTACTTTCTACTTACCCATTTCAAGTTTTAAAGGTAGGGGTGGAGGTTGAGGGTGATTCTTTAAACCACACTGTTATGAAGAAATACTTTACCATATTTGAGTTATATTTTGAAGGAATCTAATAAGATATGATGAGGGCAAAAATAAACATTAACAGTAACATTGAATGTCAAGGGACTGAATTCATCCAAAAGAAAAAGAAGTGAATTGAAGAACAGACTAGAAAATAGAATCTAATAGTATATTCCCTATAGGATACACATCTAAATCCAGAGAAAAAAATGTAAAGTGGGATTGGGTGGATTGGAATCGTTTACTATGCTTTAACAGAATTTTTTAAAGCCATCATTACAATCATGATTTCAGAAAATGAAATAACAAAAATAGATACCAACAAAAGAAACAGATTTTTTAAAAAATCATTTGGTAAATATATACTGAGCAGTATTATAACTAAGTACTTAAATAAAATGTTAAATGGAATGCAAAAAGTCATAGATAGTAAGGCATCCTGCTGTTTTTTCCTCCATAATCTGACAAATCTCTTTCATCCGTATAATGTTGTCTCCCAAATGTGTCAAACTCAAAATCATAGAAACATTTTTGCTATGTAGAAAAATAGACAAAATGCCAAAATGTGATGAATTTATCTATAAAAATTATATAAAGAAAATTTATATCTTGAAAACTTTGTTAATATCATTATTAATTAGTAAGAATTACTGTTATTGATACATTAATTATACATTACTGTTAATTAAATATTAATGACAACACTTAAGGGATACTTTTGAAATAATAAAACCAACATGTAAATATTAAATTCCAAAAAATGCAATGTGAAATTTTGAAAATCTGAAGTAAAATAAACAAAATTTAAATGCCAAAAAAATACTAAAAAGCAAAACAGAGATAGAAAATCCAAATATAATTAGGGGGTGGAGTGAGGACTAAATAATCAAAATCAAAAGTGGGGAAGGAAAAGAAAATATGCACTATTATGTACCAACAAGATTTAAGGCATCAACAAAATAGAGCCTAGATAATAAAATGAAGAAAAAATTGAGCAACTTCAGAAGGGAATTGAACAAATTATTCATGATCTCCTAAAAGTAAAACAAAAATTTCAGGAACAGATAGTTTTCACTAAGTGAACTTCATCAAATATTTAAGATAAATATTAACTTTGCTATAGAAAATGTTTCTATTGATAGAAACTGGAGCCCTTTGTCCAACCTTTTCTATGAGACAATCATGATTGTCTCACCCAAACCAGCAAAAGGTAAAGCAAAGAAAGAGATCTATAAAATGTTATCACAAAAATGCAAAAGTATACCAATGCTAAATAAAATACTGGTAGAGTTATTATAACAACATATACAAAATTATGGCCATTTTAAATTAGTTTGAGTAATACTAGGAATGCAAGGATAGTTCAAAATTAGGGAAAGATGGTACAAAAATAATATTAATATTATAATGTAGGAGGCAGAATGGTGTGATGGATAAAATACTCACTTAGGAAAAAGAATATCTATTTAGTTTCCACCTTTGACACAATATGTGACCATGGGCAGGTTATTCTCATCTCATACTCAGTAACATTTGATAGAGTGCCTCCATTGGGCATTCCTAAACTGATGAAATCACAGATTCTTGATTATTAATGCAGTAGTAAACAACAATGAAATTATGATTTTATCAACACATTTAAACTGTTAAACTACATTACCACTTATAGTACAAGTCAGCTCTAGCAAAGCTAGATTGCTATCTCAAAACATTTCTCTTATCAGACTATGGACAGTTTCTTTTACATCCTCATATGTCCCAGAGTGGACTTAAGCTGAATTGGATTTTCTGGTATCAATGCAGATTAATATAAACAAAATGGAATAAAATATGGATTTATGCTAAAATAACAAATAGCACAAGAATGAATGACTCTCTATGACTAAAAAAAAATATCTAAAATAAAGAGTTGGCAACATTTGTAATAGATAAATATTGGAAACTTTCCAAGTAATAAAATGGATGAACCAAGGTTGTCCACTATTCCAATTATAATTTAATATAGTTCCAGAAATGTAATAAGTACATTAATAAGAAAAGAAAAAAATAAAATGAGAGAATAGACATTGATTGGCAAAGAAGAAAAAAAAATTCTCTATTTGCAAATGATGGGGTGGTTTTATTAGAAAACTATATGGAATCATATAGTTTTGAAAAAAATGAAATGAAATAGCAAATAGTTTCAGCAGATTAGCAGAGTATATATGCACAGAAATTTTTTTTAATTTCCAAAGCATATTTCCATATATTCCTCACAAAAGCAAAAGAAAAGGATAGAAAGAAAAATGATATTTGAGGGGCAGCTAGGTGGCACAGTGGATAGAGCACCAGCCCTGGAGTCAGGAGGACCTGAGTTCAAATCTGACCTTAGACAACATAATACTTACTAGCTGTGTGACTCTGAGCAAGTCACTTAACCCCAATTGCCACGCAAGAAAAATGACATTTTGAATGACAACAGAATGCATTAAATAACTTGGAGTTACAATAAAGGAATGCATCAACAAATTATGGGATATGCACATAATATAATATCGCATTGCAAATGTTAAGAATTAGGAACTCAAAGAATTATGGGAACTACATGAAGTGAGGCAAAGTAAACAAAGAAGAAGCAAAAGAAAAATATACACAATTGCCACAACCACATGAATAAATACAGCATTTGTCAACAAGAAAACTCAGAATGAAAGTAGAGAAAACATTGGTATTAACTTATAGGGCAGAAATATTCTTTTTTAAAAATGGAAACTTAAGGGCAGCTAAATGATGCCGTGAATCTGAGTTCAAATCCTATCTCAGATACATGATACTCACTAGCCGTGGGAACCCTTGGCAAGTCACTTAACTCCTACTGCCCCCCCAAAAAAAATAGGATGTTAGGAATATTTTAAAAAATTAAAATTAAAATGGAAACTTAATGAATTATAAATATTCAGAAATTATTAGTCACAGTCACTCTTTTCTGTTGTTTTACTTGATTCCTGTGAAGGATTTTGCTTTGTGAGGATGGAATATTTTGAGGTTTTGTAGAGTGTGACAAAACAAAAATGTATTAGTAGAAATAAATATTTCTACATGTAAAATAAATATAATATTTATTTATGCATTTTACATACACATGCATGCACACATAAATATGTGCACGCACATGTACACATATAATATGTTAGCCTTCTAACACACAAAACTTATATGGTCTATACAATATTCTAGAAATAAATGAAGTTCTAAATTATTGGAAGGATATTCAATGTTCATGGTTTGGCTGGGCTAAGATGGTGAAGATTGATCTAATAAAGCAATTATTATGAAGATGAGGTTAATTCTTAAATTAATCAAACTCTTGAAGTTACTCTCTATAATCCTATAACTCATAACAAATTCATGTTGAGGAATAAAAATTTATCAGCATCTGGGGCAGCTAGGTGGCACAGTGGATACAGCACCGGCCCTGGATTCAGGAGGACCTGAGCTCAAATCCGACCTCGGACACATAACACTTATTAGCTGTGTGACCCTAGGCAAGTCACTTAACCCCATTGCCTAACCAAATTAAAAAAAAAATTATGAGCATCAAGTGAACCATTGGGAAGAAAAAAAAAAGATGGAGGAAAGAGTACAACCAGATCTCCAATTATATTGCAAAGTAATAATTATTAAAACTATCCAGTATTACATGAGTGATTTTGACTTGGAATATGTTAAATAAGTAAGACAGACATAAATGTGAATAGCAGGCTTCTAGTATTTGATAAACCCATAAACACAAACTTCTGGTGAAGGAATTCTTTACTCAACCAGAACTGCTTGGAGAAATGGGTAGCAGTTTAGCCAACAGACATATTAAAAGTAAAACCAGTCTTTTGATCTCCATAATCATCATTACTATCCCTCTGACCTCATCTCACCAGCTTCAGCTGGATCTTGTGTATCCCAACACACATAATACACCTCAATAGCTGGGAAACCCTCCATAGCCATTGCTTGAAACTAGTGTGCAGACTTCACTTTAGAAATACCCAAAGGGTCTTGGTCTTCTGAAGTTCATTTCCTGAAATTCCAAGAAGAAAACAAAAAAGTTAAGTTTATTAATGGGTTCCCCAAGGCCATAATCTCCCCCAGTCCCTCATATGAGGCCAATGCAATGCCCAGGTGATTGAAAGCCTGGAGCAAAATTCAGAGGAGGGGACAAATTGTGGAGAGGAGGCAGGTGACTGAGTAATTAGCCTTCACTTTTCTTTACTGCTGCCTCTGGCAAGGAAAGGCATCCCCAGAGACCGAGTGCTCATTAAAAGTAGAAGTTGGCAGATTAGAAATGGGAATTAGGCAAGAACTTCCTGGCCCAGTCAACAAGCATTTAAATTACTCCAAGTTACTAAATGAGAAGTTCCATAGGGAGCCCTTGTTATCTCCTCCAGTAAACCAAGTGACTTCCAGCTGGGAAAAACACCCTGTTAGAAGCCAGATGAGGCAACAACATACCAAACAAAGCTGTGTAATTTACCAGGATGATTGATCAACCTCCATGGCTGCCTTGGCCTAATCAGGCACTGTCATTGTACATTTTTTGCTCACATTTCCAGATTGTTTCCCTCTCAACAAGCCTTCAAGAGAAATAGTGAAAATGTAATCCTCTCCATTTTACAGATAAGGAAACGGAGTCTAAGAAAAATAAAATCAGTTACCTATTTTCACAATTCAGTAATTTCTGACCAGGGTTTCAAATCTGTCTTCTGATGCCAAGTCCAGTCAGTCCATGCTCTTTTCTCTCACCCATGCTGTCTCTTGACAATTTGAAGTGGGCATAAAACCAGTTATCCTGACAAATGTGTGGGATTACAGGGTTTTGAGATGGAAGCCACCGCTATAAAATAATAACTATAATAATACATACTATTATTATGTAACACAATAAATAGCAATATACCATATAATAATAAATATAATGATAATATAAAATATTAATAATTTAAAATAATAATAATAGTTCACATTTATACAGCACTTACTATGTGCCAGTTACTCTTTACAAATATTATTTCATTTGGCAGTCTTATCAACCCTGTATGGTAGGCGATGTTATAACCCCCATTTTACAGATGGGGAGACTGAGGCAAACAGGGGTTAAGTAACTTAACTGGGGGCACAAAGCTAAGAAGTATCTGAGGCCAGATTTGAACTCAGCTCTTCGTGACTCCAGACATGGCTATAGAACATCACCTAGCTGCAGCATCTAGCTAGATGGTATGGTGGAAAGAGCCCCAGCCTTGGAATCAGGAAAGCCTAAATACTAATCCTGCCTCAGACATTCACTGGCGGTGTGACACTGAGCCAGTTCCCTGACCTCCAGCCTCTGTTCTCTCATCAAAAAATGGGAATACTAACACTGCTGTTTATTAGCTGTCACTGTGAGGTAGGTGGTCTGTATATTATGATGCCCACCTGATAGATTAGACAAGTGTTTCCAGAAGCAACAAGTATTAATGACTTGCCCAAGATCACACAGCTAGTACATAATAGAATCATAGTCCAAGCTCCCAGTGCAGTGAGCTTTCTTCTTATTAAATCAAGAACCTAGGTGCTGATAATATGGGCAGTTACCTAGTCTTTCTCAATGGCCCAGTTCCCTCTACGATATCTCTTGGTGACCTGTGATATGATTAAGGTGGTATAATGGGAATAGTGAGGAGACTTGGGTTTAAATACTATCTAGGCCAGGTATTTCCCCTCTCTGGACCTCAATTTCCTCATCTGCCAAATGATGCTGATACTATTTATGCCACTAACTTTTAACATTGCTGTAAGGAAAGGGCTTACATAAATGTATGATTCTGCACAAATTTGAATCATTAACCTCAACTTCTCATTGGAACACTGTACATAGAAAGAAATGGCCTCAGAGACCAATTCTCCCCTGCCCATTTTGATAACTGAGGAAACTGAGCCCCAGAGAAAGTAAGTGAATTTCCCAAGGTCGCAGACTTAAAAATGAACCACATCCTGTAAGGCCCAGGGTAGAACTCTTTTAGTGTCAAGTCTTCTGGACATTTAAAGTTCTGGGATAAATATTGATGGTTTTTTATCGTGGGACATCACCAGATTTGCAGCCAGGACATAGATGTTTGGTTCTCAACTAGGATACTTGCTAGATGTTTGTTTTTAGGCGATTCACTTAATCTTGTCAGGCCTCAGTTTCCTCATCTGTTAAAAAGAAAAAAGATGATGATAATGCCTGAACTTAAACATCTCACAGGGTTGTTGTGGGCAGCGGATGAGATGTGTGTGTGTGTGTGTGTGTGTGTGTGTGTGTGTGTGTGTGTGTAATAATTTGGGAAGGGCAGCTCGGTGGCTCAGTGGATAGAGTACTGGGCCTGGAGATAGGAAGACCTGAGTTCAAACGCAGCCTTATTCCTTTGTTTGAATCATATATAGTGTGTAGGTATCTCCCACCGAGATGTCCACCCCACCCAGCAGATGTCCTTTAGACTTTTAGATTTTCTTTTTTTTTAAATTAATGTATTTTTATTTATCAACAATCACTTACATATGCTTTTGAGTTTAAAATTTTTCTCCCCCTTCTTCCCCACCACCATCCCCAAGACAGTACACAATCTGATATAGGCTATGCATATACATTCCTATTAAACATATTTTCACATTAGTGACATTGTAAGTAAGAATTACAAGCAATTGCAGGAACCACCAGAAAGAGGAAACAAAACTCAACAGAAGAAAAAAATAGCAAATAGTATGTTTTGATCTGCATTCAAACTCCATAGCTTAGACTTTTACATTTTCAAAGGACTTCCCCAATAACAAATTATAGGGGAGGTAGTCAAAGTATTTTTAGCATCATTTTACTGATAAGAAAATTAAGTTTCATAGACACAACTAATTGACTTGCTCAAGGTCACACAGTAAATAATGGAATGAGGACTCTTCTGATGATAAATTCAGCAATCTTGATGCTAACAATCCTCTGTTTGGCTCTGAAAGTTCTTCATAACCTGTCCCCTTCTGATCTTTCCTGTCTTCTTACATCTTACTCCCTTTCACATACTTTATAGTTACATAACAGTGGTCTCCTTTCTGTTCCTCACTCATGGCACTCCATCTCCAGCCTTTGGGTGTTTTTGCTGGTTGTCCCCCATGCCTGGAACCTTCTTCCTCTTCCTCTTGGACTCTTGGCTCCTCTGGCTTCCTTCGGGTCTCCTCAAATGTCCTGCCACCTTCAAGAAGCCTATTCTGGTCTTCCTCAGTATTAGCACCTTCCCTGAGACTAGTCCCCTTTTATCCTACCTATGGCTAATTTGTATACACTCACCTGCATGTTGTCTCTCCATTAGAGTATGAGTTCTTGGAGATCAGAGATCATCTGTTGCCTTTCTTTGTGTTGCCAAGTCTTAGTACAGTGCCTGGCACATGTTGCTATTATTCATTGTTGTCTCACTCTTCATGATCCCATTTGGGCAAGTGGTTTGCCATTTCCTCCTCCAGCTCATTTTACAGATGAGGAAACTGAAGCAAACAGGGTGAAGTCACTTGCCCAGAAGTCACCCCGCTGGTAAGTGTCTGAGGCCAGATTTGAACTCAGGAAGAGGAGTATTCCTGACTCCAGGCCTACCACTCTATCCACTGTGCCACCTAGCTGCCCCATTTGACTGAGGTCTAGTCCCAAAGCCTCGGCAAAACAGAGCCACCTTCACAAATGAACCAATTAAAAAAAACTTAATGTTAGGAAATGTTTTGTGTTGTTTGGACCTAGCCCCGTGTGGCTGAGAAACCAGAACCACTGCTTAGAGATCAGATTGGTTAAATGTTTAACTCACGACCTATGTTATGCTGACCAGAAATCCAGTCAGGTCCAAAGACTCATGCAAGAAATGTGAAGAATTTTCTCCCATTTCACATCTCAAGCAACCCACGTGTTTTACCTGGAAACTGCCTCCATGCTGGCCAATCAGCTACTGGTCCTTATTCCTTTGTTTGAATCACATGTAATGTGTAGGTATCTCCCATCGAGATGTCTACCCCAAGTACGTAAAGACTTTCCCCATCAGGATGGGTGGATGAGAACAATTGTTCGTGGCCATGAAGGTGACTAAAACGGGTGCTGTGGAAAGCTTAGAGACTGGAACTGGCAGACACCAAGATCATCCACTAAATCCTACACCACCAACAGTCGATTTGACTTTTGTCCTGCTGCTGGACTTCAATGACTCAGGAAGAGAGAGTGAAGCTTATGGCGCTGTACGGCTCTGCCTCACTTCAATCCAATTCACACACAAATCAAGACATTACCCCCTGATGTCATTGGTCTTCTTTGAAAAACAAAGGACAGACAACATAATGTGCAACTTACAGACATTTACCATCCCTTTTTCAGCTCTCTCCCTCTGTTGGATGACTTAATAGACTTCTTTCTAAATTATATCAGTCTTGGGTTTTGTCCCCAACCTAATGTTAACTGCAAAAAGTATTTTATATTGAGCAAAGTAAGAACAAAAGTAATAAAACATTGTGTTATAGAATATCTACCATGTCTACAAGTATGCATGGAGCTGCCTTTCAAAGATTCAGAGTGCTAGAGAGAAAATGAGAGCTCTGAATTCAATAGTGTGAAGGAAGATATAGATTAGATTAGATTAGATAAAACATTTATTAAGGACTTACTAAACGCCAGTGTGCTAGGCACTGGGAGTATAGGTGCAAGCCAAAACGTAAGACGGTTCCTCCAACAAGGAGTCTACATAATGGAGGAAGATAATGCATCAACCTGAGATGAAGAGCAGGGAGGAAGGAGTAGAAGCTACTTGAGCAGGGTCAGAGTCCCTAAGAAGTCCAGGGAGTCATTGGCGAAGACAGATTTGGAGGGAGCATGGCTGGCAGGAAAAGCCCTTCCTGAACTGGGAACGACTCACCAATCAGAGAGGAGACTTGGTTTATGGCTTGCTTCATTGATGCTCTTCTTGTAAGTGGGCAAAGGAAACATCATGCAGGGTCTAAGTGAGGTTGGACTCAGTCATCCAGTAAGGCAGAAAATCAGACAATGACTCTGGAACACTGTACACACTCCAGGAAGAGGCAGAGTTCTTCCAGTAGACCAGCTGATGTAGGCGGAGTAAAATCCACATTAAACATACTACCTAGTTTAGGAAGTGAGGGCAGTTCCCCAGAGAGAAAGAGAACTGGGGAATATCGAGTTATCTATGATGAGGGAGAATGAGAGTGTTTAGGACTCCTCCATCACTTTCGTGCATTAGGTTGGAGTCCTCATATTTGACCACAAGGTGGTGCTACAGAAATTCTAGGGAAGTACCATAATTAACAGTGTGAGCATAGGACAACCAGATCCCAATGTCTCCTACTGAGAAATAGTTGTGCCATAGTCCAGAAATCCAAAAACCATCTCGATACAGAGCAGTTCACTTCTTAACTCAACAGATATCTCCCTTACTCACAGAGCTGTTATGAAGATCAAATATGATAATATAGATAAAATGCTTTATAAACCACTAAGTGCTCTATAAATATTAGTTATTCTATTATGAAAGGGATTCTTTTTCAAATGGAATAGATGTATGGAATAGATAGAGGGAAGGAGGATGAGAGAAGTATTTACTCAATAACATTAAGTGCCGGGCGTTAAGACAAGCACTTTACAAATGTTACCTCATTTCATGACATAATGATGAGGCAGATGACCTCAGAAATCCCTTATAAATCTAAATACTCTGTGATCTTTGATTCTGTAATTTCCATTTCTACTCATACCACTTCAATTAATCCTTTTTGCTACAAAAGTCAGCTAGGTGGTGCAGGGGATAGAGCACTAGGCCTGGAGTCGGCAAGATTCATCTTCCTGAGTTCAAATCTGGCCTCAGACACACTAGCTATGTGATCCTGGGCAAGTCACTTAACCTTATTTGCCACAGTTTCCTAATCTGTGAAATAGGCTGGAAAAGGAATGGCAAATCACTCCAGTATCCTTGCCAAGAGAACCCCAAAAGGGGCCACAAAGAGTTAGGTACAACTGAACAACAACAACCACTACCAGAATCATTTCTTATCCAGAGATCTGGTACATCAGGCTTCTGCTCAAGAATCTTCATTGTCTCCCTGTTTCCTATGGAATAAACTTCAATTTTCTCTGCCAATCATACAAGGCTATAAAGTTATACATGATAAAATCAACAAGTAGGTATTGATTACCAACTATATGCAAGGCTCTGCCTTACTTAAGTTGGTTTAGGAGTTACCTCTCTGGGAATGTCAATAAAAGAGTCCACTCATTGTCATCGGTCTTATCATCATCATAATAACAGAAGATAAAATGAACAACTTTAATTAAGTAAAAATTCAAAAGTTTTTACATGAGCAAAACCAATGCAAATAAAACGAGAAGGGAAGCAGGTAACTGGGAAAAATATTGGCAGCAAGTTTCTCCACTAACAGTCTCACCTTCATACACATATATACCTACACCAGATTCAGGTTTACAGAAACCAAATCTACTATCTAATTTATGAGAGATAAAAGGATATGAATAAGCAGTATTTAGAAGAAAATGTCAAAGCTACCACCCAGCCAACAAGCAATAAACATTTACTAAATACTATGTGCTAGTCAGTAGGGGTACAAAGAAAGACAAAAGACAGTCCTGGCCCTCAAGGAAAACAAAATCTAATGGAACAGACACATGCAAACAACTATGGACAAATAAGGACACAGACTACTGCAGGAGGAATTGGAAATAATCAACAGAAGGCTACAAGAATTAATAGGGTTCAGAAAGGCTTTTTGCCAATTGTGGGATTTTAGCTGAGACTTGAGGGAAATCCAGGGATCTAGGAAGTGAAGTTGGGGAGGAACATTTGATGCATGGGAGACATTCAGTGAAAATATCCAGAGTTGGGAAATGGAGGATTCTGTCTGAGGAACAGCAAGGTGGCTGCTGTCCCCGAATCTCAAAATAAGGGGAGGTAGATCGAAGATGTAAGATGTAAGATGACTAGAAAAGTGGAAGGGGGTCATGTCCTGAGGTCTTTGAATGCCAAACAGAGGAAGTGATAGGGAACCAATGGAGTTTTATTGAATGTAGGGGTAGAGGGTACATGGTCAGGCCTGAACTTTAGGAAGATCACTTTGGTAGTTGAGTGGAGGATGGACTGGAATGGATAAAGACTTGTGATAGGAAGAACAACTAGAGTGCTATTGGAATAGTCAAGGCATAAGCTTCCGAAAGCCCACATCAGGAAGGTGACAGCTTCAGAGGAAAGAAGGGAGCCAATGCAAGAGCTATGATGAAAGTTAATTCAATATTCAATAACCACATGAAAAAAATGTACCAAATCACTAATAATGCAAGAAATTAAAAATAAGAGAACTGTGGGTTTTTAAAAACTCACCCTCATCAGATGAGCAAAGTTGATGAAAAATGAAAATGACAAACGTTGGAGGACGTGTGAGAAACTAGTACATTAATGCTTGTTTGGTGGAGTTGTGGGTTGGTCTGGAAATTCTGGAAAGCAATTCAGAATTTTGCTCCCTGAACTACCAAGCTGGGTGTACCCTTTGCCACAGTAATGCAGCTACTAGGCATATGCTTTCTTTCTCCCCCCGTTTCTCCAAGAAAGACCAAAATAAGAGGAAAAGGACTCATAAGTAGTTGTAATATATTATACATAAATATAAAACATATATTTATGTATAATATATTATAAAATATAAAAATATACATATAATATAAAATTATATGTTATTAAAATTATATGGTTATTACACCAGCTTGTTTTGTTGTGGCAAAGGACTGAAAACTGAGGAAGTACCCATGGGAATGACTGAAGAAATAGTTTTACACAAATGTAATGGAATACTACTGTTCTAGAATCTTCAAATTCAGAGGATGAAGGAGGTAGTTCTAGAGAAACCTGGGAAGACTTATATGAACTGATGCAGAGGGAAGGGAGTAGGATCAAATAGTATTTACATAAGGGCAACATTGTATGACAAACAACTTTGAAAGACTTAACAACTCTGATCCTCCTAATTAGAATAGCTAGCATTCATACTATACACCATTTTTGTGTGTGCATGTGTTTGTGTATGTGTATATGTATGTATACATGTATATACATATGCACACATATACATGGATATCCATAAACATACACACACACACACACATATACACTCACTTGTACATAAGACCATTTTATGCTTACTTCCACTTGTATTCTGTTTCTCTGTAGGTGGATAGCATCTTCCTTCATAAGTCCAAGTCTTTCCATATTTTTCTATATCTACCAGCTCTTCATTTCCTGCAGCACAACAATATTACGACCCAATCACATTCTATCTGGGATATCGTCTATGAGACTTTTTTCCTCCAATTTTTCCGCATTCCCTCTATTCTTGGCTACATAGGTTTTATTTATACATGAAATTTT